AAATCATGTCTCTAAAAATAGTAAGTAAAGAGGTTCCTTCCTTTTCTTAAGGAAACTAAAAACTTAGAATCACCAAATTATCTCAAAAAAAAAAAAAAGAAACCTTGAAGAATATTGTCAAGAGGCCTTACTCTACTAGACATGAAGACATTAGAAAGCTACAGTAGTTAAAACAACATACTCTCAGAACAGACAGACAGAACAAGCACAGCCTAGAACACCAAGATGCTAACCTACTGAATCACACTTATTTAATCACCCGCTTATGACTATGAACCACTGTGATACCGTGATAAAGGTTTATCTGTTCGGTAAGTGACAGTAGACAAATAACTCATACTTAATATATAAGAACCTTCTACAAATCACTGAGAGAAAGATAATCCAGTATAAAAGTAGACAAACAGCGTGAACAGCAACTTTGTGAAAGAAGATAACAAAATGGTAAATAAGTCAGCAGAAATATCCCAATTAAACCATAATGAGACATATATCATCAAAGTGGCTAAAGTTTAAAAAGACTGAAAAAAACCCATGTGCTAGTAAGTGTGAACATGTCAGTAATTAGAACTTTCATATACCACTTAGGAAGAGGAGGTGTAACCCAGGCAATTATTTTGCAAAATTATCAGAACTGTACTAAATCTGTACATTTGCACCCTTTAGGTGTAGAAATTAAACTCCTCTACACACACCAACATAAATGCACCAAAACATATGTGCAAGCACGTTCATAGTAGTTTTATTCATCGTAATCCAACTGGATAAACTGAAATGCCCAAATTCAGTAGAATGAATAAATAAAATGTAGTGAATTCTTACAACAGAATACTATTCAGCAATGACAAAAATGAACTACTTCTCTATACAGGATGGAGAGATCTCAGTGTATAATGCTAAACATGGGCAGTAACACACACAAAGTGCTTACTGTATGTCATCCACTTCCATAGAATTAAAAAAGACGTAAACCTAATTTACAGTGATAGAGATAAAAAGTAATAGTTACTCTCTGTAGAAAATGTATGTCCTGATGGAGATTATAAGGGACAGTTTAGGTACTGGAAATGTTCTTTGTTGATATGAGTGGTGGCTACACTCTTAAACCCGAGGGAAGTTTCTGCTTATGGTTGAAATACAGAAAGTCATGAATCTATTATTCATACTCTCATCACCAAGAAAAAACCTGAAAAGTTACCAAATCACAGTTTTTGGAAACTATAACAGCTGAGAAGATAATGAGGCCTAACTGAATGAAAATAAAGACATAGATAAGCTCTTTCCAGGAAAAAGAAGACTCATAGCTGCTTTTGCTCCAGAAAAGAATTAAGAGGGGGAAGAAAGGAATTGCCATTACAAGGCATAAGGAGAAATCACCCAAACTTTGAAGGAAACTTTAGTAATCAGGTGTGGACAGGCTTGATGGAATCACAGCTTGAATAGGTCTGTACATACTGCCAATCTGTTTCCTATGGGCCTTTACCAGGTACACAAGAGGGCACCCCAAAGGTTGGTGCAAGGATGAAGTCTTGACTTACAGATTTCAAAGAATGGACAGGGGTGTTAAATGAGACACAAAATGCCCTTAGGGTTTGGAGGATAGAGATAGTCCTGATGGAAGTGAAGGGAGTGGCCTGGGGGTAGGAAGAAGTGAGTGGATTTCATGAACTGCTTCAGGAGTAGAGAAGACAGAACTGTTGTTGCAACATTCCTGTGTCACATATTTTACGTTAAAATTAGAAGGAATGAAAAAATCCAAAGTGTAATTTTATAATAATTTTTGACAGTGAGAACTGTGCATGGAAATTGTGATGGAGGATAAAAGACAAGTAAAGGCTTTTGATTTGGACTAAAATGCCATCAAAAAATCAAGAGGCTACATAGTGAGATCAGGGCCAAATAAAAAAATCAGACCACAGCACAGAGAAAGCTCCACCCGAGTCCTTGAACTAGTGGAGAAGTGGGTAGGAAACAACACTTTCATGCCAAAGAGTAACTGGGAGCAAAGAAAATTTCAGAGATGAGGAAAAGAGGTTCAGGATTTATGATCATGATTTTAATAAAGCTTGTAGCACGGATGTTCTATCACATGATCTCAAGCATTAATGCAAGTGGATAAAGTCCTTAAATGAAATAAGACTTTCCTAAAATAAGTATAATAAGAAAATCTTATTAAACAATTGTTTTTTAAAAAAGTTTAGAGATTTCTTACATGAGCAAGTGAGAGAGACAGTAGGGAGAGAGAGGTAGATACAGCACACTCAGTGGGGTCTTGACACTGTGACCATCCACAGTCTTTAGCCAGCCCCAGATCATGAGCAAGGGTGTGACCGGCATACTCAAAGCACTGAGTTTTACCACTGAAAGACTAAATAATTTTTGAAAGGGCTGGCCCACTGGGAGAGGTAGAAAAAGATTGAGATCAGATGACATTAAATGCCCCAGTCCAGATCCATAGATGCCAATAACTATTTTGTGTTTTTTTGTCTCTGGGTTTCCAATTCTCTATAGTATCCAGTTATTACCGGTGGTCTTCCAGTTACTAATAATTCTACAGAAGGTTGTTTGAGTTGGGCTTAAATTGATGCCTTGAAAATTATGCAAAAGGACATGAAAAATGAAATACCGGAAGTAGAAGATTTATGAGAGAATGTGATCAATATACATTTGTTGATCTTGAACACAGCCTAGGAAACTGAAAGGATAGATTAATTAAGGATTAAGCAAAACATGAATTTGAATATTCAAAGACATTTCAAGCAAGAAACCCTGGGGTATATTTATAGAATCACTTTAATTAGTCAGTATTCACAACAGCCTTATACACTTGAGTCAAGTTTTCAACATATTTTCAATATGCATCTCTTCTAAATGAAAGAGTTGAGATATTGTGAACTAAGCACAGAGCTTGGAATCAGAAGACATAGGCTGAAGTCCTTACTCTGACAGTTACAAACTCTGAGAGCAAATTACACAACTTTTCTAAAAACACAAAATAGAAAACTCTACCAGCACACACAAAGATTAAACAGAGGCCAGCAGGGGGTTGTGGCAGTTCAAGTGCTGGACTTTCACATAGCCCCTCATGGTTCGAGTCCCAGACATGTGGTTAAAAATCATGCTCAAATCCAGAAAGGGATAGAGGAGAATGGATTGTGGTATGGCCATCCCCTCTGGGGGTTGATTTCTCACTTTCCCTCTTGCTGGCTCTTTCTCTAGCAAGCACACATGACCTATGGCAAAAAGCTAAAGCAAAACAAAACAAAAAGATAAACATTACTGGAGTTGAATGTATTTTGTAAAATAGAAAGTAACATTATTTCCTGAAAGGAGTGAAAAATGAGAAAAAGTTCATGAAAATTTGTTTTTATTCAAGTTAACAGCTTTCAATATGTCCCATAGGAACTGAAGACAGTACAGTTTAATTTACTGACAATGATAAAAAAAAAACCCCAAGACTTCTGGGTTCTTTATCAGACCATTAGTAAGTAGAAATAATGTAACTATCACATGTATCTAAGAAATACCTGTCAGAGCTATTTCTTGTGGATTAAATTAATATCTTTCAGATGATTTCAACAAGAACCACTTCAGAGTAGTTAGTTTAGGCTGTGATGCCAGACAGACTTCAAATCCTGCATTTAATACTTCCTAAGAATGTAACTGTGTGTGTGTGTGTGTGTGTGTGTGTGTGTGTGTGTGTTTAAAGATAAAGTCTCGCTGAGTCATGATCCTCCTCTGCCTCAGCTTCCCTGAGTCACTGGGATTACAGGAGCACACCACCATCCAAGGTCTTTAGGTTGAACCGGTAATCGAATCCTGCCCTCTCACTGCTCTCAGACTGTGAGGCCCAGCATCTTAGCCCCACACATGCTGTGGCCAGGTCCCTTGGTATCTGACTTTGTAAAACCTGATAATCCTTAGGTGTGATTTTCTATCAAAAAAAAAAGGGGGGGGGGACATATTTACACTACTAACATCAAAGACTTAAGAGATGGCATTTAATTTACTTAGCAAAACGCCTCACTTGTACTACATACCTTCAAATGTTAGCTATTGCTGTTGAGCTGACAGAAATCTCAGTTTTCATATACTAGTCTTTCCCATCCGTACCAGGGATGGTGTTCCTTATGTTCACAGTGATAGGAAAGTTCACGTTATTTAACAGTAGAAGGGAATGTCCACATCTATTGAAAAGCCAGTATGAGCCAAACACCATAAGAGAAGCTACGGATAAAAGCTTGAACTAGGTGTTTTCTTTAACTGCAAATTCCTCAGTAATTTAAGGCCCTTGGGGGCAGATTTTGTTGGCTCTGCTCATCTATTTGTCATCAAGGGTTAAAAACGACAGGAATATTTCATTTGTTAAATGTTTATGGAATTAATAGTCTTAGAGCTTCTTATATCCTACATATAAATAACTAGTTATATTTTAGATCTGCAATAAAGAAAAAGTATAAACAAAATAGGTTTTTTAAAGATTTATTCAATTTTACTCATTATCGGTATTATTTTTTAATTTGCTATAAGGCATGTGTCTTTCCCAGAGACAGAGAGATGAAGAAAGCGAGAGAGAAGGGAGAGTGAGTGAGCAAGCAAGTTGACGGGGGCCAGGACTCGAACCATGGCTGACCATACCACCTGCTGGCCCCAACGGTACTAATAAGTTATTTTTATTTGGGGCCAGGACTCGAACCATGGTTGACCATATCACCTGCTGGCCCCAATGATACTAATAAGTTATTTTTATTAGTACAAATATAACTGAAATTAGATTTAAATCTTAGGGACAATGTTAATGATTTTCCTGCAAAATAAATACAATGATATTTGGTACTTTGGAGAAAAATCTAGAAATGTGCAGCACACACAGGAAAGAATTCACCAAAAGACTGATAAAGGGGTAACAGAAAGAAAACCTGATACCATTTTCTTATTGCATGTTCTAATACGTTTCCCACTATTTAATTTTCCATTTGAAGATTTACACTATGACTCACCTGGTCTTCTTCTCCTCCACCTTCTTCATCATATTTTAAAATATTATCTCTTACATCATCTTCTGGATCAATTAAAAGTTGTTTGGCTTGGCGTTCTTTGTCCCGGCGTTTCATCCACACCACAAACATCAGAACGAGGACTAGGGAGGAAAAAGGAAAAATACAGAACATGTCATTTTTTTTTAAGCACAACCTATCTACTCACAGTATCAACACTAAATCTTAGATTGGTTCAAGGCTTGTACTTGTCACTCTAGTATCTATTTCTATCAAATTAAAAAAAATGCAAGATAAAGGGGGCCTAAGCACTGGGTTTAGAATAGAAGACTTTGGTTCTTGTCCCCCGTACCCACTGAACTCACTGGATAAACATCTCTGTCCTCAGCTTCATCATCTATCTACATGTGAGAACAATAACATTTCCTGTCTTTATTTTGACTTGCTGTGGGGTACATCGCCTTAATAGAATGTAAACTCTAAAATCAAAATTGCATGTAAGTTAGGTTGTTACAGACTGTTTTAATGAGGGTGGTCAGACATTGTTATCTCCCAAATACACAGAGAAATAGCACTTTTCCAAGAGAATGGTGCTTGCCTAGATACCTGACTCAGGTAATAGATTGAAATTGGATCAGAAATCGGATCCTGAAGGTTTGTTTTGTTTTGTTTTTGACTCACTGAGACTGGTGTTTTTCTGCAGCACTATTCTGCATTTCCTTCGATGTCAAACTCCATGTTTCAACTCAGAAAGCTAGGGGATTAGTTTGAGCACTGAAATAAAATTAGACTTTTGTGCTTTACACTTTTGTGCCAGGTCTAGAATCATACATTTTCTAGAGAGCTGATGTTAAAAATCAGCACTGATTCATTTTCCTTCAAAATGCCATAGTTACTTCTTCATGCCATAACCCATCCTGCCTAGGTATTTCTTGGCAACATTGACAACAATGCCACATTTCAGTTGAAATCGAAACATATCCCTAAGTGCATATCTAGGGACAAACTGTGTCTAAAATCTGGGGGTATCAGTTTACATCTTGAAGCAAAAGATTTAATGACTCCTATTTGAGCACATTTTTATTATTGGCCATAAAAGTAAATATCCTCCTTTTAAAGCCAGATACATGATCTCATTTGCCATTGTTCCAGGGCTAAATCTAGCAAGTGGATTATTAGTATAGCATGCAGGTTTCAAATTATAGGCAAAGTAGTCTCCACACAGGAAGTAAAAAATGCTCAGGCTTCTATAGTAATTGCTTAGAATAAAGGGACAGAATTCTAAATTACCAGAACACTTGTAAATGGAGAAAACATAAAAGAAATGGCCAACATTTTCAAGAAAGTGATTGGTGCATAGCATGATTGCACAATAAACTAAGTCCTGCTGCTATTCCACAATAAAACACAGAGCCCAGGCAATTTATTCTTTTAACCTGCATGCTTAGAAGTGGTTTCTAAAGTACTTTCCAGTGGTTAATTTCTTGCATTCCACTGAACCAAAGATTGCAAAGTATCCTAAAAAGGAGCAATTCCTTAATCTACACTTACTCTAAAGACAGACAATTTATTGAACTGTGTAATCATTTCCATTATCAAACGTGCTGTATGTGAAGTACAGTCTTTTACTATTTTACCCAGCCCTTCAGAAACAAATATCTTGATGCTCGCATGACTGAAGCAGGTTGCTGACTGCGCTTTATATGAAGGAAAGTGAAGGAAAGCAATATACTCATTTTCCCAAATCATCAACTACGTGCCATAAATTCACACTCGAATCGTAAGGTAAGTGCTCAAGCTTAGGACTATTTAACATTATTTTACGGAAAGGGTTTGCTATACTTCCGCAAGCCATCAGCATTAGAAGATGGGGAAAAGGCAAGGAAGAGAATTGCTGGCCAGGCTTGTTGCAAATGTGTACGTGCTGGAAACAGTGGTCCGGGTGTTTTCATTCTGAAGTGGACTTGACTGTCCAGCCTACGATTGGCAAGAAAATACTCAGAGGTCAAAGGGAGTTGTCCGATTACTTTGCAAAACAACAGCCACAAGTTACTTTGCTGAACTTCCTAGAAGCAAAAGGAATTAAGACCTAAGGGACAAAGTACTTACTGAGCAGGATGATGATGCAGAGAAGGATGGCAATGATGGCACCCGTGCCGAGCCCCGCACCCACAATCCTGTCCACATCTGTGCAGTCCCCATTGGAGTCACACTGGCAAACTTTCACACGCAGGATGGAAATATTTGACTTGGGAGGATTACCCGAATCCGTGATAATGATGGGAACCTCATAGATACCAGCTTCAAGAAATTTTATCTTTAAATTAAGCTGAGCAAAATCACCTATACAAAAAAGAGAGAGAAATGCAGTTTGGCAGTCACTACTTAATGTGATAAAATATGTATATATATCTATCTATCTATACACACACACACACACACACACACACACACACACACACACACAGCATTTTCCAGAATATATTTACTACCTAACTGTACACATGAAATGGATTGTGACTATGCTCCATTGTGAAGGCTTTCGGGGTTTTTTTTGTCTTTAAGAACTTTCACTTTCTTATTTAAACTTTAAGTAGCTTTTAAAATATATTTAATGAGAAGTTTATGAAGCACATAAAAATTAACTTTTCATATCAGGATTCAAAACCTCTCAACTGCACATATATTCACATAATTAACCTATTCTTACCATTAAGCCGAGTGATGGTCCAATTTCTCTTAATAGTCACTGGAGATAAAGGAAGATCAAAAGCAAACGGCCCAGCATTTGGATCAATGTCATAATCAAGTGCGGTGATGTTAATTGAATTGGGGTCTGGAGTTTCACAGGTCTCTGCCTCTTGAGGTAACACTTGAGGGGCATTGTCATTGATATCAAGTAAATAGATCTGCAGTGTTCCTGTTCCACTCATAGGAGGAATTCCTTAAAAGGAGAAAAACCACAAATGGATGCTGAACAATTCTCTCTGATGAGCTATATGGTGCAATTCTCAAAATTTTTACTCTTCTTGCTCTTATAATTGTGTAACTTCGGAAACATCTAGAAGCCACAGCATCTAGGAGACTGTTTTCAGAACTAGGGCCCCTCTTGTAACCCTCCTAAGATGACTCTGAGCGGTCACTGCTGCTCTGTAATAGCTGAACATGACAATGTATGCTCCTGCTCAAGGGTCCTCAGCCTTCCCTGCCCTCACAGTCCATTACTCAGGGGCTGTGCATACCAAGCTCCTCCAGGCACTGTGGGGATTTGGAGAAGCAGATGCAGGGTTCGTGATCCTGCAGATTCTACTCTTTTGATGGAGAAAGAAGATGTGTGCATGAAATAATTTTAGAATGCTGTTAAAGCTCAATCCCAACCATGACCTTTTGAGTCTACAGAGATGTAAAACAGAACCATCACTCTCATCTCAAGGAACATCACCATGAAGAACAGAAATGACACTTATAGATCAACCAAATACCCGTCTGAGGAAGCACCAGGTTGTTCTTTGTACATTACTTCGTTGTAATCCTGCGAACAGGTTTAAACAAATGAGAAACCTAGGGTCTCCATAAACTGCCCAGGCTACAAACTCTTAAAAAGGGGTAGAACTGTTACTAAAGATTGGCCTGCCTGACCCGAACCCCATCATTCTCTTTCCACTATGAAAAATTTTCTTTACCACCTGTGTGTAATTTTGTCAGATGACTTGGCTTCTGCTATACTATAAATGTTTATACATATATGTATAATATGTGATATATATACATATATACACACACATACATACACATAAATACATACATATGTATGTATTTATGTGTATGTATGTGTGTGTATATATGTATATATATCACATATTATACATATATGTATAATATGTGATATATATACATATATACACACACATACATACACATAAATACATACATATGTATGTATAATAATGCTCCAGAAACATAAATGATCTGCCCAAGGTCATGCAACTGGGAAGGTGTGTACAGAAATGGGGCTCCAAATCCTGCCTGTGATTTAAAGTCAAGTGTATTTGCAAAACATCAACAGGTAAATAGATGAAGCAGCTCCCTTCTCTCTCAGATCAAATACCCTTTCAGTTAGACAATAATCGACCTTAGTGAATGAAAAATGTGGATGTACCCCACGACCAACATACATCCATATAATTTTATGGCTCTTTAAATCTCAACATAATTGTTTAAGATATTCACTTGAACCGTTCCACTGTAAAGAAAAATTACTGTCTATTTATGCCGAGAAGGCACAGAACAGACTCAAATGCTATGCTTTGATGTGTGATGGTGGGGGCTGCTCCTACAAAATTTCAAATCTAAACATTTACACATTCAGTCCTGCAGTAGAAAGGATAAGAAATATTGCTGTGGCCCTGTCAACACAGATTTACACTAGATAGTAATCTCACAGAATCTTATTATACAGGATTTGAAAAGGCTCATTGAAAGTGTTCTTATCAGAAGTGTTGATAGGCAATCCTCTTCAAACTGCACATCTTGACTACCAAATTGAAGCCTGCTATTTTTATTAAATGCTAGCTTTCATAGTCTAACACTACAAATATTTTACAATATGGTTGTGTGTGATTCAGTTTTGAAGTTTTTGGGTTGTTGGAAAAGTCATGATACATTTTTGCATAGAAAAACATAGAAAAAATGTCATGACTTTTCTGACAGTCCAATATTAACACAACAGAAACATTTATTCAAGTGGTTAGCTTGTGCCAGGCACTGTTTTACATGTTTTATGTATAGAAGCCATTTTATCTTCCCCCAAATACTAGAAGTTACGTACTGATATCACTGTGTCTATTTAACAACAGAAACAAAGAAAAAATAAAATGAACAGTTTTTTGTGTTTCTTTTTTTTTGAGAACTTTTTTGTTCACATGTGGTCACTAGAAAGACAGAGAAAGACAGAGAGA